AAAAGTGTCTGCCGTTATACAGGTAATATGTGTTATAATGATATACTGTAAAGAGTGTAGAAGAAAGACAGGTTCCTAATTAAAAGTGTCTGCCGTTATACAGGTAATATGTGTTATAATGATATACTGTAAAGTGTAGAAGAAAGACAGGTCCCTAATTAAAAGTGTCTGCCGTTATACAGGTAATATGTGTTATAATGATAGACTGTAAAGTGTAGAAGAAAGACAGGTCCCTAATTAAAAGTGTCTGCCGTTATACAGGTAATATGTGTTTATAATGATAAACTGTAAAGAGTGTAGAAGAAAGACAGGTTCCTAATTAAAAGTGTCTGCTGTTATACAGGTAATATGTGTTATAATGATAAACTGTAAAGAGTGTAGAAGAAAGACAGGTTCCTAATTAAAAGTGTCTGCTGTTATACAGGTAATATGTGTTATAATGATGGACTGTAAAGTGTAGAAGATAGACAGGTTCCTAATTAAAAGTGGCTGCTGTTATACAGGTAATATGTGTTATACTGATGGACTGTAAAGAGTGTAGAAGAAAGACAGGTTCCTAATTAAAAGTGTCTGCTGTTATACAGGTAATATGTGTTATAATGATAGACTGTAAAGTGTAGAAGAAAGACAGGTTCCTAATTAAAAGTGTCTGCTGTTATACAGGTAATTTGTAATGACAGACTGTAAAGAGTGTAGAAGAAAGACAGGTTCCTAATTAAAAGTGTCTGCCGTGATACGGGTGATATGTGCCATTTCACCATAGTAAGATTGATGGTGATTTTTCATGAAGTCATTCTTTATAGGCCCAATTAGGGTCTTCATAAACATTTTAGTTGCTGTGGCAGGTTACAACACAATACCTTAACTACGCTGGTAACTACAACACCCTAAAGTATAGCATAATCTGGTTATCCCGATAACGAATGTTTTGCCTGCTTCAATCATAACAAACCTGGCTAAGTCTTAGAGTAAAAAGGATTTAAAAGACAGTGTTAGGCTTACCTTGTTAATAAAAAACGTTACAATGGCAGAAAGAATAAAGTCTTGAGTGGCGTTGTCAATCAAACAAAATAACAACACGTCAAACATCAGAATAGTTCCTTCATTCCCAATAAACAAAGTAGCATCAAAAGAATGTCCATTATCTGAAACAAAAAAACAAGATAATTAAAAATGGTGATTAGGATCAAGTACAGAAACGAGTTGAATCAAAATGCAAAAACTATATTTTCAAGCCTACAACTCTAAAAAAAACTGGAAATAGTGTATACATTATTTCTTTTTCTGTAGGCTTGTGAAACAAGAATAATACGAAGAAGAAGAAACGGCTGAATTTTGTCTAACAATCGGAAAATCAACTTTTTTTTTGTTATTATCAATATTTTAGTAGGCTTAGCCATTGAGATAGAAGGTCTTGAGTGTTGTTTCAAGGACAGGTCTGCTTTTTAAGATGGTTTTTACTCGTATGGTCAATTAGAACTTTTATGAAAGTTCTGGGCGATCCCCATCATTCTCAGGTTCATCTCCAGTAACTTATACAAACACATATTATCAGGTTTCATCTCCAGTATCCAACACGATAAGAAAAACAAGAAAACAGATACATTAATAAAATACAAACTAAATGACTCACCATTATAAAAATACCCTCTTTCAGTAGGTTCATAAAACTCTATGTCAAACAAGTTTTCTAAAAACATCCGATCCTTCACAACATAGTCAAGGTCTTTGTAAGACTAGAAAAAACAAAAACTTTATTAAATTGGTAGCAAACAAGAAAACTATTAAGTATTATAGCAAGTTACGTATTTAGAGAAGCGGCGACAAACGCAGAGAATCCAATACTTTATCGGTAACAAGCTATCATACATTTCTGAAATTCCAAACGTCTGTACATTTATTAAATGTAATTTTTGTATACCGTGTAGAACTTTATATTTCTGTCGTTGTTCGAACATTACAAACACCTCTAGAGAACCACATTTCTTATAGTTCTTCCAATTTTCAGTTAATTTGGACACTTACGTTTTTGTCAAATGTTTACGATATAAATTTATGTTGAAAGATGTTTTCTATGAAAAGTAGTTTTTTTTCCTAATAAAGAGTATCGTATAACAGTGAATTATGATATCATAAATAACAAAATAACATACTATGCAAGATATAAATCCACTTAATCATAACCATAACCAGGATTTTGTTTCAAGGGGAGGTGTACATTTGCCATGACCCGACTACCACCCCAAAAAAAGGGCACTTCTTTTCGTTTATGTCTAACATTTTGGGTATTTTCCTCTATCAATTAAAAAATAATCTCTGGCTTTTTAACAATTTTTATGGAGAAGTCCTATGAGATAGAAATACAATATAGTAATACAGTAAAATACACTTTTAACACAAGTATGTGTAATATATAATAATTATAAATACAGCATGCTTTAAAAGAAAATCTGTCTTTGCTTTCCCTCCCTCCCTCTCTTTCTCCTCCTTTTTTGTTTGAATGAAAGAAACTTTTTTTTTGGGGGGGGGGGAATCACTAAATCTCTCCTGTCTATAGCTGTGCAGCTAATAACTAGTGAAGCTACATAATGCATACATTATAAAGAAACTCTACCAATGAGTTTTGAAACTAGAAATAATCTAGACAATACTTACATGGTCAATAAAACCAGCAAGAAACTTGTTTGTATTTTGGTATATCCCCGAAACTTTATCGACATCCACCTTTGATAAACGACCTCCTACTAAAAACATACACAGTTAATTTTAAATAACACCAATTACAGGTTCACCTGGTCTGATCGTTTGGACGTTTTAAATTAACATTTCACTAGAAAAATTAATGCACTAATTTAAATTAAAGTCTGACTACGTACATTAATAAACACTTTAAGAAACATATGAAAAACCTTGACCACTAAACCTGACTACGTACATTAATAAACACTTTAAGAAACATAT